TTCTGTCTCTCTTAACATGCAAAAATAATATTCTGCAAAATTAACATCTACAATAATCCGATTCCACTGCTATAGCAAGATCTGTTTTCACTGCGATACTAGGCACTTGTCATGAGACAAAGAGTTTTCAGGTATGTAATTAATTTAAGCCTACTTTCCCCGTGTTCTAAGATTACGTTTTATTTTGTTTTACAGAACAGAGAGTTAACTGCTCATTAAACAGGAGCATAGCAAATCCAGCTATCCTCATACAGTTAAGCTAATGAGCAAAATACTTGAGTTTGCATCAGGAGATGCTAAAAAAAAAGCATACAGAATAAGAGACTGAGAGCATCTGTGTTTGAGATATTGCTCCCTTCTTCAGCATAATAGCTTTTACAGTGCCTTGATCTGCAATCTCTTAAAAAAGAATAAACAGACTTCAAGAAATAGTCCTTGGTTGATTTACTGCTTGGCTTTCATTCACAGAAGTTATTCAAGAACCACCACAGAAATATAGGTCAATAATTGTTTTTAATTATAAACTCTGTTCGCCCATCCTATTTCCTATTGGTATCATTAACTTTGTACAGTTACTTGCTTACCCAAAGAACTGTGGGTTTTTAGTGAGTGCTGCATTTGCATATTGCTCACTTGTAAGTCATGCCCCCCAACATACCCAGCTTCAGGAAATTCAGCCGGACCCAGTCTGCAAGCAAAAGGTTGCTGACCTCGGCTATGGTTGTAGTGTAGAGCAGTAGTCGCCAAAGTGGGGTGCACGCACCCCAGGGGGTGTGCAAGACTATCCGCTGGGGTGCGGGAAGAAAATATTAGAGCGTCTATTTCTATAAATAGACATATATTGGGGGGGGGTGTGCTCAAAACTTTTTTTACTGATAAGGGTGCGCGATCAAAAAAGTTTAGAGACCACTGGCGTAGAGAATCATTTAAACTTGCAGTGTTTATCAAATCATATCAGCCCAAAAGGCAGCTAGACTTCTGTGATCCAAACTAAGAAAATAAAAAACAAGTCCTGTAAAACAAGACACAATCTTTAAGTCAGAAGCTCCAAAGCCAAAATGGAGGCTCCCATAATAACCTGTGTGCCAACAGCACCTGGATCAGGCTGGAAGAACTAATCCAACTGGAACATCTTTTAACAATCTTGCACAGACCCACTATGAAGCACAACTAACTCAACTTTGTGACAAACAGCAATGCAACAACAGAATGATGCTACTCTAGATACGTCTGGAGCTATCAAAAACCACTTGGATTGCAAATGAAGCAGTCCAAAAACGCTACAACCAATATGCAGAGATGCACTTAATTAGTTGAACACCAAGTTTAATATCACACAACCACTGCCTCCTGCTTTTGTCTGTTGTGCACTATTGCTTGAAGAACTGCCTCTTACCAGCAGCAAGAGAGATTTTAAAGGGCAGTTTATACAACTAGATCTCCTACATGCACTGCCAATTACGAATGCCAATTCTTGGGAAGCTCACCAGTCCAGATGGGATACATCCATGGTGATCACAATGGACTGGGAAAAAAGACGCTCAGGAACAGCTCCTAGTAATCCCTAGAACTCCCTTTAACATAGGAACTCAGAGTTCTGTATTTTTAATGAATCTCACAACATTTTAACAAATCTTATTCCTAATGCAGATAAGCTAAGAAGCCATAAACTACAAGGAAACTGTACCTGAGGCTAATGATCTAGAAGGATCCCAGGTGTCCCTGAACCTCTTCTGGAATAAATGCCTTCACCTAGACAGTTTGGGCCAGCACCCTAGAAAGGAGATTTTTCAGGCAGATTCAGTAGTGGATGTGTTCCAAGACAGCTAAAGACCCAAGCAACTAAAGTAGTTTGCACATTAAATTGAATGATTAATGTCTGGCAAAAAATAGAAGCGAACTGGCTAGTTATTTAAACTAAAGGACTGCATAAATAGCTTGGCACCCAAGACAGATGTTGTCCACAGCCAAGAACTGGGCAGATGCTGCTGGTGTGGGAGGAAAGCCAAAAGACAGCATAGCTACCAGCAATAATGTTGCCTCACAAAAGAGAGGCATTTTCTACAAACTGGCCCAATTGTTGTGTGAAAAGTAGGCATTTTAGACCACACATAATCCTGAGGGAAAAAGGCGAGAATCAAAGGGCAGAGTAGAGCACATGCTTAGAAATCTACAGTAGCGCTATTTCAAGTAAAGAGACTGAATAATTTCCATATGGATCAAGGGGAATAAGCATCACTGCCTAGACTCTTGAACTACTAAGTTTGCCACCTTACTCCCAGAGACAACACAAAGGGAGAATGAAGCAGATAATGACCCTAGTCAAGTCCTTTTTCTTTTGTCCTCCCATAATTAACAGTTTCAGGAACCAAGGCTGAAAAACCTAAAGATACCAGAAAAGGTTTCCAGTAGCGTAGCAAAGTGATATGAAGGCTTTCCTATTCTGACTTAAATTGAAGTGTTCTAGAGACCTATGGCTGATGTGATTTCCCTTTGTCGTATGAAAGCTTGGAGATTGTAGATGGCCATTCCATTAACATACAGGTCTAAAATGTCAAATAAGTCATGAGCTAAGCTAGTGGTATGATCTTGAGCACTATATTCCTCTGTTTTGCTGCGTTTAGCTGCTCCTCAGAAACATTCTTGATTAAAAGGGATCTCTTCCCAAGGAAAAAACTGGTACGTTGTCATATCAATTTAATTCTTGGCCATAGTTACACAGACCACTTGATTTTCACTTCAAGGAAAAAAAATCTGTCATGTCCGGCTGATGAATGGGTCTCACCTATTTTACTACATAGCTTGCTGGCTGCTGATGCCAACAACAGGAGAGAATAAAAAGAGTCAGGAATTGTTTTTTTTACAGGCCCTGCTAAAACCTTTTACAGATGTGACTCATGCAAAGCCTTGAATTGAATCAAGCAGTGCCCAACAGTGTATTTTTACTAAAAACCTGAAGTTTCCAAACAAATTGATAGATGACAGCATAGACAAGAGGATCACATCCCCAACAGGGACTGAGAAGTGAGAAATCCCTTCTTCCTGATTAAAAGTATTCTTGCATATCTCCACAGCCTTTCCTTCCTCCTCTAAATGGGGAAGGCTGTCAGAATACTGGGTCAATGAAAGGGGCAATAGTGCAGATGTTAGTACTCCATCAAAGTGACAAATGTGGCAGGGAATCGTATACATTTATTGGCTTGGGAACTACAACAGGTTTAAAGACAGACCTAGTATCTTCAAACTCAGTGGTGAGGACCTCAGCCAGAAAAGCCCCATAGGTTAAAGAGGCTGACCAAAGGAACCTAAGAAAGCAAGACCTTCAGAACCTGGATGGCACTACTGAATCTGTTCAAGAATTCAGACCTCCCAGGCCACCCAAAGGCTAACCAGGAAATTTTATACAACAAAGTTTTTTTTTCAGGAAGTAAGCTAACCTTCTCCAGAAGGAGCTCTCATGACTCTATGTCCTGACAATGGCACTAAAGAGTCATCACCAGTCAAAGATGGCATGAATACCAGTCCTGAAGTGACAACAGCAAAACCAATTTCTGATTGAACCAAGGCAGACTTCTCAGGCTGAATCCTCAGAGCACTAAAGAGCTCCATACTAACAGCTTCGTTGTATGGTATTATCTTTCTTAGAGCATAACAACAAAAATCTCTGTGATACAAAAGGAGCCCCCACCCCCCACACCAAAGCTAGGGCATGTCTGTTTAGCACTTTCTTCAGTTCTGAGCAAAGTATCAATGTTGAGAAAGTAATTCTGTGGTATAGGTAATTCAAAGGGAAGACTGGCATCAGCAATGAAAGTTCAAGCACAAAAGATTTCCTTCAAGCTGGGGATGTCTAAGTGCTCACTGAAGGCATACAAATCCATCTAGCAGAGGCGTCTTTAGTTGGCACTGACTTGCCTGGCACTGGCAACGAAGACAGTCTACTCTTACTCCACAAGGGAACAGAGCACATCTCTAATCCAAGTACTAACCACAAAAGGCAGAGCCGCCCCACTGATTACTGATGTAAGCTTAAGGGTTATAAGCCACATGCACAAGTTGGAATCTGGGGTACTTGATATTCTTCTTGCTATCTGTTTTCAGGGATAAAGAAACATTTTTATCCCAAAGCTTTTATAAGCAGTAGGCAGCATCATCATTCCCATGTAGAGACAGGAAAAATAAGGCACAAAAGAAATTAAGTACTTTGCCAGGATCAGAGAGAAGATCAGAAGTATATCTGGAGAGAATCCCTAGGTCTCCTTGAACCACACCAGTGCTCCATCTGATAGACCTTCACCTACCCATTACATTGCATCTTGCCTCCAGCAGAGCAAGCAGAACTTTAACAGCTCTGAGAAGAAGGAGGAGGATGAGATTGAGATGCACTCTTATACAGGGGAAGGGAAAAACTAATTCTGTCAGTGTCTTATTCTTCTTTTTACTCATCGAATAACCTTTACTGAAATTTCTCTCTTATGCAGATAAAAGTAATCACCTAGCCAACATGCATAAGATACAGGAAAATGTGACCTACATACAGCTTGCTTTAAAAAAAAAAAAGTTACAAAACCCAGTAAATCCAAATTTAGACTGCGGGTTGCTCTTGGACATGTCACTTTAATTTTTCCCCACTGCAGGAGCATGGATTGAGTTGCATTTGTATACGATTATAAGCAGCTAGAATGATCTACCAGTCTATCAGCATCAGCAAAATATCTACCCTGAAAGTAAACGGATCCTCTGAGAACATGTTGTTCGAAGGTATTTTGTCTCCTGAAGAGGCCAAGCTGTGAGAACAGTGAAAGAGACAGTACTCAGTGCAAAATGCATTTTTTCTTTTAACAGCTACATCACTTTCTTGCAACATACACAGTAACGGAATGCTTAACCCAGCCACTTGGGTGTAATCCAAAATACACACTACTAAAATGCATAAAAATTACAAAAACCTATCAGTGACCTGATTGGTGCAACACTGTATGCAGACGTAGCAAACTCACCATCTCTGTCTTCATCGTGAATATTTAGGTATAGGTATTCCAGCCCTCTTCCTTTCTTGCCATGCTCCGCTCCTTGTATTTTAGTCATAAGTGTTGTTTTACCTGAACCGTCGTCACCTGCCAGTAAGTTTGTATAACAAAAAGATACGTTCAGAAATCTGTTCTTTGCAGAATAGCTTGTTTTTAAGCGTGCTCAAGTAGTCAAGAAAACACAAAACAACCAGTCTTGTTTCTAGAGGGGAAGGACTTGTTTTAAAACCTCTGTGGAAACAGTTGAATTTATCACTAAGACTACAACACACTGAAGACATACGCTAAGAATAAAACACATAAGGATAGCTAATGAATGGCACAGAGTGCTTGGCAGCCTGGACACTAAATAGTTCATGTGATCTTAGGCAGCAATGAACTTACTGGAACGAGCTGAATCCTAAAAAGTTGAGGAACAGGCACTTAACAAAAAGCAAAGTTTATATGGACAGGCACCAATGGCAGGTGCTCTAGGTCTGGAGCGAGACTCACTTCCTGGGTTTCAGCCAGGCAAACAACACTGTTGCAGTCCAGCTGACCAAAAAACCGGCTGTTTTCCACCGATCCCAAACCATGTTACCAGAAGTTTCAGATTAAGGCGGCATCTAGTAACAACCCCAAGCACGATGCCGTTTTAAATCTGCATCTAAAAACAAAACCAGGTTCAGATAAACCTATCTGCTTCCACCCAAGCAGAGACCCCCGATTTACTTCAGAGCTCGAAGTCATCACCCGCCAAGACAATGCCAACAGCAGGTCCCACCTACACAGGGAAAGACGTGACAGCCCGGATAGCTTTAATAACCCATTTGGCTGAACTGGCGAGCGTGCAAAGCCCAACGCCCATGGATTTCAATCAGCTGGCACCCGTACAATCGCCAAGGCAGGGAAGCTGCTGCATTTCAGACCGAAGCACGCTGGCGCTGGGACCCAGACCCACATGAAAACCCCCAACCCCCTGCAATGAAGCCGGCGCTGCTGTGTGTGCTTGCCCCTCTGTGGCAAAACACCCCCCTGCAGTTAATACTCACCAAAGACGAGGATGTTTTTGCCAGACGGCAGCTTGGACCGGGAGCGAGTGGACACCTCGCTCAGGATGGAGGACCTGCGCGGGGAGAAACGACACGGGGCTCGGCTCCGGCTCCCCCTCCCTC